TACGGAAAACTCTATGAAATTGTGAAATCGTGACATCTCAGCTTTCTTCGATTTTCGGCAACAACAACAAAAAATGTAAAATTTTTTTAAATCAAAGAACCTTCCACACAGAAGGTCCAAAAATGTGCTTTTTACAGAATTNACAGAATTGAAATCGGTTCAGCCGTTTGGTCAGGCATCGCCGTCATACGGAAAACATTTCATTTTTATATACATATCTGTGTTCGTATGGAAAAGTAGCTTATGTCGAAAGGCTGGCTTTAGTATAATGCGGCAAACCCTTTATTTTTTAAACGGCAAGGAATTTTTTGATGAGACTTAATAAGAATATTGACTTGCTAGTATCGGAACTATTTCTTCCACGTTTATTTGCCAAAAGTTCTTCAACGGCTTAGCGCCAGTGAGTCATTCGCAATTGTATGCTGCGTATGCCGATTTATACTAAAGCCAGCCTTTCGACATAAGCTACTTTTCCATATGAACACAGATATATAGATATGTATCTACACCAAGTTTCTGTACTCTATCAAAATTATTTTCTGAGATATGATATGCGGTATGAAAATTTCGTTTTATGGGAACTGCCACGCCCCCTCGTATAATCGAGATTAAATCTATCCTATAATTTAAGTTGGGCTAAATGGCTCCAGTGTACAAAATTTAATATAAATCGGTTGAGTAGTTAAAGCGTGAAAGCGTTACAAATAAACACATTCACTTGATTTATAATATTAGTAAGGATTTTTTTATTTTATTTTTTTTTATTTTTAAATTTCCAAAGACAAAAATTATTTACACAAACAGCCTTTTCATTTGTTTTAAGGAAGGTACATTGAACAGGTAGTATCAGTAGAGCAGCTGATTTGATTTATTTTCAAATTATTTGGTCTCGAAAATGTCAAATATTTTTAATTTTTTCTCACAAAAATTCTGAATTGTTAAAATCCATTTGCATGTGAAACCTTTTTCCATACAAAACAAGCGATTGAATAGCAGCTTTTGGAACGTTCGCCCAACTCAGCAGCACAACCGCTGATTACTGGCCCTTGTAAAGGATGGATCAATGCTTCGAGAAGCAAACAAATTTACTAGGAAAGAAAGTTGCAACAATTTTTATTTTTTCCAATTTCAATTTTTTATTTTTTATAATTTTTTGTATTTCACATGGCACGCTTTGATTTAGAAGAAAAAATTCAGAACAGTTTTTGACACTTTCGATACCAGAAGCAACAACAAAATACACGCAAATGTTGTTTTTGCACTACTGATACTACCTGTTTAATGTGCCTTGGTTTTAAGTGATTGTCATTGCAAGTATAAGGCCCAGTTTCAGATCATACATTTAATCTGCACTTAAATTGCCAATATTAGTTGTGTTTTCTTGGGTTATCCAGTTAAGTATCACGATCACTTCTTACTGAAACGATCTGGATCATTCTTATTGGGGTTGACAGCACTAATTTTATACTACGACGACGAATTATAAAAATGAACTCACTAAATGGGAAAAAGTACATTTAAACGATATAATATTCACTTAAATAAATCGTTAACATAATGACGATTTATTGGAAACAAATTAAAAGAAACAATAGGGCAATTCATCTAAACGCGCAAATGCCTCGTTACCAAGTAAATCTCGTAAACTTATTTTTTAATATTTTTATTGAGCTTTCTGCTACGATTGTTTATTAGGAAAAATTGAAAAAGCAACAAAGTCTAAGCGGTAGAAATTATAGCAGCTATTTCGGAGATCACCACATCTCCTCATCAGAATTCTTTTTTCTAGACTTCAGCAGTGGATCGAACTGCGTAATCGATGTTCAAAGTCAGCAGCGTTAACCGCTGAGCATATGTACATACATCCCGTAAACTCTTGTTGCTAATTAATTTTTCCTTATTCAACCAACTACTATCAAGTGCAGCTGATTTGCCGCTATTTAACCTCGATTTGCTTATTTTGCTTTTTGTATAGTTTCAGGCAGGCTCCTCCTAAACTATGTATTTCTCAATGTTATTGTGGCTTATTAACATTTTATTTTTTAATATTTTTATTGAGCTTTGTACCACGATTGTTTACTTACTTTATTTTGTATGGAAAACCAGTTTATTTACAAGGTTAACACGGTTACGAGGCTTTTGCGCGTTTTGATGAATACCCTGAATAGCAGAATAACTGTTTGTGTATACATTCATTTGTCAGTGCTACCAAGCCTTGCTGCCAAATTATCAGCGAAATAAAACATACAAAGCGGATCATAAACTGAACCAGATATCTATCAGGATCCTATCGTTGTCGTTGCACTTGCTGCAAGTGCCCAAGAAAACACAGCTATAATTGGCTATTAGCGATATGCAACCCTGTGTTTGTACCAAACAACCAAGATTAAAGGATAGCTTGTTTTATTAATCTTGCCAAACAACAGTTAGCTGTTCAGCACAAAATGTAAACAAAGAAACAAATGCAACAACAATTTCAAGGAACAAGCAACAGCTTGGCATAAATATTTAAACAAGGGTAATCTGAAACCCAACGAAAGTTAAATAACATTTAAGTAACAATCCAAAATTGAACTTCAGTGCCATTTAAATTTTCATCTGAAATTGACCCTAAGTCGCACAATTAGGTTGTTTGTTAAGTGAATTAGATTTGTCTACATTTGCATATGGGTAGAATAAAAACTAACTTGCTTTTTAATTACTTCTATTGGAATTGAGAAGACTAATTAAGAAAACAATCATTTATTCATCGGCCCATGCTTATCTTATATGTTTATTTTTTTTTTGTTTTGATGTCAGGAAACACTGAAAGAATTCGTTGGCAGTCAGCATTGCAATGAAGCAAAGATATTACGAAACTAAATCAATTTCTTAAATTTTATATCAAGATATAAATATAATGGAAAATCTTATATTACAGGTGCTATAACGGGTTAAAGGTCAGATCTTCGAAAATTTAAAAACTTAATATTTCAGAAAATTTTGAACTGATTTAAAAAAAATCATATCGTTGTAAGGGCGATTTAACCCCCTTTCTTGTAATATGCCTATTTGTAAACTTCGTATATAAAAATTTGAGAAAAAACACATTTAAAGGAAAAAATAACGAGGTAAAATGCTTTTATTAACTCGGGATGTAACTATGTAATATTGATGCGCCTAAAAGATGCAGCGATTTCCATTCTCAAGTTACATACCTGATGACAGTACGAATGGGAATTGCTTTAAACTTTCATTCTTGTTGTTGTTGTTGTAGCAGCATACAAATTCCCCAAAGACATTTTGGGGAGTGTTGCTGGAGTGACAGTCCTTGGCCAGATATAAATCTGGGTCGTTCCGGTTACGTAGACCCGACTGTCGTGGGAACGAACTTTCATTCTTAAAGTAACCTGGTGACAGTACGAATGGAAACTTTAATAGCAAGGTTTTAGTTTTTTAAAGTAACCTGGTGACAGTACGAATGGAAACTTTAATAGCAAGGTTTTAGTTTTTTAAACTATAATTTTATAAAAATATTTTAAACGAAAAAATTACTCACCGATTTAAAAAAAAAATGGCATCATTGTTAAGGCAATTAAACCTCCTTTCGTCTTAAATGCATATTTGTGTACTTCGTTTAGAAAAAACTTGAGAAGAAACACTTAAAAAAGAAAAAATACCAATTGGTTTTTTTAAGTATAAGGAATTTAATTTTTCGAAGACCTGAACTTTGACCCCTTATAGTACCTGTAATATAAGTTTGCAGAAAAAAAGTTATATACCATTTAAATAAGAGCAAAGGGAGGACTACGTCTATATTTTTAGGCTTTTAGTTATTTATGTGCAATAATTAAATATGTGACCTGGTCTACGGAAAGGGGGCTTAGGTGTCAAAAAAATCAATTTTCACTTTTTGGTTGATTCGGATGGAAGATGAGATGATTTTCACTTTTAACAGCTTTTTCACAGAAAACTTTTTTCGCACGTAAGCTCCCTTTTCGTAGACCAGGTCACATATAACTTTTTTCCAAATTACTTTTTAACCTACATATGACTCAGTCCCTTAAAAAAATTGGTTTGGTCCAATACCCAGAAAAAAAGTTGATTTTGCCATACAGTGTTATTATTGGGAGTCTCCTAATAAGAATAATATTCGATTAACCGCTCGAATTCGACTAATCGTTCACTTTCGACTAACTGCTCACCATCGAGTGGGCTGAAAATCGACTAATTGAAATTATTCGAATAGTGAGGGTTGTTGGGTGTTGTCAATAAACATATCGAGCCCTAAACGTTAAAATAACGTAAGCGACATTTTTTTCTACGAATATTTCTGCATAAAAAAAAATAAAAAATTAAAAAAAAAATCTCGCTTACGTTTTTTTGGCGGTTAGGGCTCGAAATATTGGTATTCAAAAAATATAAAACGAACAAATAAATGTCTATTGAAAGAAAATAGTTGTCGAAAAATCGAAAAGTCGAAAGAAATTGTTAATCGAGTAAGTAAAGTTAACTAGTTAAAAAAAAAAATGTTGATGATTTATTATCCGATTAGTTGATTAGTACTTTAATATACAAATCGAGCCCTAACCGCCAAAAAGGCGTAAGCGACATTTTTCTCAAAATTTTCCTTTTGATCCAGAAATGAAAAATAAAATAAAAAATAAAAAAATATTGCTTAGGCCTTTTTGCGGTTGCTCGATATGTTAAAAATAAATTTAAAATAGACAAATTTTTTTTTAACAAAACTTTATTTAGAGTTTGGAAAAACAAAAACATTTTTCTAGGTTCAAAAATTCATACCAGCAGTGTTTTTTAACCTTCTTGAAAATTTTATGATCTCTTAAGATCAAATGGCGGTATTGTATAGAAAAAATTGAAGCAATGATTTTTATAAGTTTTGCCTTTTACGATTTTTTTTTTTAATTTCAAAATTCTGAAAATTTATTTACTTGTAAATTTTTTTATACAGGTTTAAGGCCCTAAATATCGCTTTAAAACGAGACCGGAGCAATTTAATAAATAATTTTTGAAATAATCATAAAACAAAGTTGCAAAATTCCGAAAATTGTGAAATGTGGAATTTTGTATATCTTTCAAAAAAAGATTTTAATCAGATACGGAAAATAAACATAATTTTTTTAAATTTTAACGAAAAAAATCAACAAGCTGTAATCATCGTAAAACAGTTTTATCTATACTCACGTATATTTTTTTGATTTTTATTTTTTCGCTAACGACTATTATATTGAGTTTTATTTTTTTACTTAAGAATAATGATCATTAAACAAATTTTTTTGTTCAGAGGTAGCGACAGCCTAATAAAAGCAATAAGTCCGAAAATTTTCACGTCGAAATTTCAGTTTGTTGCGTCTGTATGGTCTTTTAAATTTTATAAGTAATCATTATTTTTAAGTGGAAAAATAAAACTCATAAAATAATGATAAAATGCTGATTTTAATTATTACACTTAAAATTAGACTGCGGATGTTTATGCAGAAAACGAAACCAAAAAACATGTACCACCTAACTATAATAACTATAAGCAAAATGTATAAATTTTTGTAAATTTACCTGTATAGATACATTTTGTTTATAGTTATGTGGTGCATATTTTTAGGCTTCGATTTCTGCATAAGGATCAAAAATCATCTACTCAAACCATTGGTCGATTTGACATGGATTAACCCATAAATATTTATACATGCACTAATATTTAGTTATCCCAGTATTTTCATGAGATCTTTCAATATTACAATTTAAAATATTATAATCAAAAAAATATGTTCCAAAATGTTCGGATATGAGAACATTTCTGCTGTATTTTCACTGCATACGGGCTAGTTTTCGACATAACCTCAGAAAAAGATAGAAAGCGTTTTGTCAAACATTGTCATTATTAATTTGAACCCTAAGGCGCCTGAAAAAAATCTTCAAATTAAGAATCAACCTTACCAGGCTATGAAGAAATGGACAATTAATAAAAAGTTTTTAATTTATAGAAGCTCTTTGCATAAAGGACCATGTGATTATATAAAAACGTCTGGCACCAAATGGAAACCAGATTAGATTTCAGCGACAACAAAGCATATTAAGAATGTAGTTTCTCCATAAGTCAGCCAAAAATTGCTTTTTTGTGGAATCTTCTAACCCATAGAAGAATCCAGCCGAGGTAATTGTTGGGTCTTGAGAATTTTGTTCAACGCCAATATCACTTCTGTCATTTAAACACAACCTAATCAGTTAAAAACATTATTTGAATAACAAAACTAAAAATTCCAACTCGCACTCACCTCCCGCTAAAGCACTTAGACCCGCCGATGTTACCGGCGGCGGTTTCGACAATATCGTATCAATTCCATGCGGATTAGCGGCGCCTTGCGTATGTGTTGTCGTTGTGGTTGTGATCGAACCCGATATACCGCTACTCACCACACCACCCCGTCCGTCACTGATCATGTGCGTCTGCTGACTATTATTATAACCATTCATCATAGACCCCGCAACGCCGCCAGTCTTCATTTCAGTCATTGAGTGCAGAGCCGCCAGCGGCGGTCCCAGAAAACTCAGTGGCAGTTTGTGCTCCAACATGTTGTTGTTATTATTGTGATGCACACCCAGTGGGTGTACGCCGCCGCCCATACTGTTGTTATTATTGTTGTGATGTGATGCTTGCAATGCAGACACGTATTTGGCGCGATGCGCCGAGAGGTTCTCGGGACTGTAGTCAGGCGGTGGCGGACTCGATTCGCTATTATTGCCCGCTTCTTCGCCGCCACTACCGCTACGTTGACTCACGGGATACGATTTGGAGCTGTCCACACCGGGGCTGGAGTTGTTGTCGTAGCGGTTGCGCTGGTGTAGCGAATTCGCACAGTTGTCGGGCGACTCGGATTGCAGGCGGGATGATGAGGCGACGGAGGAGTGATCGGCGCCAGCGCCACCACCGCTACTCGCCGACAGCAGAGGCGGCGGTGTGGAGGAATCTTCAGCTGAGCGCGTTGACTTTGTCCCGCTCGCCTCAAGCGAGTGCAGCTGTTTGGGCGGGGCCTTGAGAAGCATAAGCGAGCTGGAGAGATTATTGTTGTTCGCAGCGTATGCGGCAGCCGCTGCAGCGCTGTGATAATCGAGCAGGTGATCGCGACTCGCCGCCGCGGCAGCTAAATTCTGATAGTCATGGTGCGCGGCAGCAGCAGCGGCGGCCGCTTCGGCGAAACCGTTCGACAAGCCGGCGGCATTCGGGAGGTGGTGATGGAGCGCAGCTGCTGCAGCGGCAGCGGCGCCTGCTGGAGGACTACGATTCGCTATCGATGTGGCCATAGCCATGGCCGATGGCGAGCTGCTCTGGCTGGTGGCAAAGCTATGATGGCGCATATAGGGATTGATGAGATCCATATTGTCAGCAGCGGCGGCGGATGATGGGGCAAGCGTTGACGGTTGTTCACTAGGGACCAAACTATTGTACGGTGGCAAGCAGTAGTCGGTGGAAGAGGTGCTTGTGCTCTCACTTGTGCCGGCAAAGCTATTCAAGCGATGATAGAATGCGGCAGCCGTAGAGGAGAAGCCGGCAGCACCAGCAACAATGGCGGTAGCAGCGCCTGCAGGCGTGTGGCGAAAGGCGGCTAAGTTGAAAGCGGAGTTCTCGGAGAGCTGGAAGTGTTTTTGCGGCAACAGCGAGTGCTGGTGGGGCGACAAGTCGTTGTGGTTGTGATTATGGTTGTGGCTGTGGCTGTGGCTGTAAGCATGAAGTGTAGGCGGTAGCGGCTGCACGGCTGTGATGTGTGTAGCGGCGGTGGCGGCCGCTGAGATCGGGCTGTCAGGGCCCGCAGGCGTTAGCGACAAGTAAGGACTACCCAGCGTGGCTGAGCGAGCAGATGGCTTTTGAATACGAATTTCAATTTGAATTTGTGTTTNCAGGCGTTAGCGACAAGTAAGGACTACCCAGCGTGGCTGAGCGAGCAGATGGCTTTTGAATACGAATTTCAATTTGAATTTGTGTTTGTGTTTGTTTAGAATATTGCACTACTTTTTGGATTGAAAGAGCGACTCCAGCAATAGGCAAAGGCAACAAATAACTTTCCCGATGCACTTACGGAAACTCAGTGNTGTGTTTGTTTAGAATATTGCACTACTTTTTGGATTGAAAGAGCGACTCCGGCAATAGGCAAAGGCAACAAATAACTTTCCCGATGCACTTACGGAAACTCAGTTTTTTCGAAGTTATTTTGGTTTAAACGATTTTCGAAGTTTCATCAATAAAGTAATATATTATTTGTTTTCCACTGAACTCATTACCGCAGTGAAAACGGTAATTTCAATAATTTTTTTTAATGAAATAATTTTGAATCAGAAGACAAATTTTAATTTTTTTCTTATTTTTTATTTATTTATATGTTTCACTTTTTCTCTCGTTATTGTTTCTACACATTTTATCACTTGTAATTTATTTACTAATCATTCGAAAACAAATTCTTATATAAGTAAATTTTTTTAAATCGTTAGTTAAATTTCTGTTCAAAACTTCACTGAAAATTTAACGCACAAACTCGCGTACAGTCATCGAATTTTGTTCCGTTCGGCCATCTTCGATAACCGAAGTCAACCGACGATGTGACAAATTGAATAGTTTCCACAGATTTTCTAACCCGTTTTACTTAGATAATTTTCCAATTATTACTTTGAACGATTTTCTTCACACTTCCGTGCGCGTTACCATTTTTACCGTCCGAATGATTAGGCCTAAGACTACAGAATGATTTCAAAATTGACTACCGTCGTTGTGTCGACTGCTGGCGAGCTGGCTGACTGGATGGGCGCTGCTGTTTGTCCGTCGCTGTATCGGTGTTCGCAACAGCAGCAACAATAACAAAAAGACCAATAAGCCAAGCACTGGATACGCAAGAAATTGAAATCCCAGCACAACAGCAGCGACAACAACACTCATCCACACACACACACACACACTGTCGCTGGCACTCGCACACTCACTCAATCAGTGCTGTCGCGTTTTGTTTCCTCAAATCCGCTTTGCCTACACACACCTCCGTTTCCGCTGTGCTGATGGCAAACCATTTCATTTCTGCTGCATTGACTCACACTGGCTGCCAGTTGGTGTTGTTGTTGAATCAATGCCAATTTGACTGTGTGTGTGTGTGATGTGCAATTAAATATTGTATGGATGAGTGCGAGTGAGAGCGTAGCAATCAACCTGCTGTTGTTATTGTTATTGCTGAGTGCAGTTAATACAATTTTCTGCTCATATGCTAGTTGTTGTTGTTGTTGCTCATGTTGAAGGGTTGTTCTACACACGTTTATTATATTCGTATACATATATCTATGTAGTTTGTATGTATGGCTTGCCTTGGGTGGAGGCTTCTTGCCACACTTTGCGTTTGAATGTAGTTCGAGTAAGTAAATCAGTGGAGAAATCAGTGTTTGAAAATCACTATAAACAGCAGTAGCAAAAACAACAATAACACCAGGGATTTTGTGAACCGAAGAGTTGGTTGGGTTGGAATTATATGGAATTGGCACAAAACGAATGGGAATTTTATTATGTACGTCATTAAAATGCACTATTTCGGATTGGAGGAGCAGGCGAGGCGGTTGGACTGACAGCGTAGGCCAGCATGGAATGTTGGTGAGGTAGCGGAGGAAAGTGAAGGGGTATTTCTTAATCAGGCTGTTAGTAAGGCGGCGAACAGTGTGGCGAAAGTGAGTCGCGATGAAGAGAAAATTTTGAGATGCGAATTACGTAATTCGAAGGGTAATTGCAGTGCGAATTACTTACGAATGAGAGAGAGAACTATGTAATTGGGGTGCCGTGGGAAAGCTGTATAACTGTCTTTCGAAAGACTAATTGAAAGATCCGTTAACGAGGAGGTCTTAGCGTTATCCTGTTCGCCTGTTAAATTAAAAAAATATATATATTCTTTTTAAAACAATAAAAACTAATAAATGAAAGAAAATTAAATTTAAAAAAATTAATGAAATGAAACAAAGCAATAATAAATTGAAATATGCACATATGTATTTGTAAATGTTAAAAAAAAACATTTTTTTTTAAACAATAAAATCTTAAAACTAAACAAGAGAAAGGAAAAAATTAATGAAAAAATAGTAGAATAATAAAAATTAAAAGATAGATATTTATTAAAAACAGACAAAAATTATTGGTATTAAAATTATAATTAAATAAATTTAACAAAAAAAAACAGCAAATTAAACTAAAAATTAAGCAATGAAAAAATAAGTTTCTAAAAAAAGTAAAAATATAATTTTTTCTTCTTTAAATAAAATATAAAAATTAAAAGCAATAAGTTTCTAAAAATTAAATACATAGAATTAAAAAAGAAAAAATATAAATAAATAAAAAAGGACTTGAACTCAGATCTCCCGAATGGCACGCGCAGTCTTTGCTCCCTCGGCCATTGCGACTGATGCGCACTGGCCGGAAATGGATTTTTTTTTTGCATAAATTCAATATTTTTATAGCAATACATATATTCTTAATATCTAACAGTTATTTTTGTAAAAGAACATATCTATGCCAACTAAGAAAATTTCCAAATAACAGATTTGAAGTTTCAACCCTGTGCTTTCAGTGCGCTTTCGACGTCATGAGCATGAATAGCTGTTATTTTATCAAAATTGGTGCAAAATTATTAGTCAATTGTGATGAGCTTGTGAAAGGTTGCGTTAATATAAATAAACAATAAGTTATATATGGAAAATAAAGGGCAAGGTATTTCTAATAATTATTAGTTTAGGTGCCTAACGTGTATGTGTTTGTTTATTGTTATTTAATATGTTTGTAGTGCGTATTCAAAGAAAAATACTAAACAATATTTTTGTGCTTCGTGGAGTAGAACTTGCAAGCTGACAAGTGATGACGCGAACTAATAAATAATAAAAAATGTTTAATAATAATTAGATTTTATTTGAGTAATAACAGTTTTTGCTCATTTTTCCATTCACATTTTAAGCGAAGTACACGTAGAAATCTATGTATTCTCCTTACATAGAATAAAGCAAATTCGGAATTTTTTTACCACGTTACCTTTATCTTTAGGCCACCTTATCTTTAGGCCTGAGAATTTCTATAGGCTTGCCATCTGCCTAAAAAATTATAAGATCCGCACCGTTCGTTGGATTACAGAAAATTAGGTGTCAAATGAATGTGTTTGGCATCTAGATGTCCAATAATGTATTATCTTTTTAGTATGGCTGCCAACATTTTAAAAATTGTAATATCTTCACAGTTAGTAGGACTAAAAGTGAGGTGCATAGTGAAAGGATACGGTCTCCGGATGTGCAATAAGGTTTTATTTTTTTAGTGGGGTTGCCAGCTTTTTAAAAATTACTACCTTACATATACATATGAATTTTTTGTTAATCACATCAGATTTGATTTACAAAGAATAAGGTGTCAAGAGATTGGCCTATAGATGTGCAATACATTTTTATTTTTTCGTGAGGGTTTGAGGTGTTTGAAGGAGATTTGTAGCAATCGAAATACGTTTGAAAGGATTTATTCAGAACTATAATTAGTAGGGTTGCCATATGTTTAAACAAGCATATTCAGCTTGAATTGTGGCGATTATGTAATTGAAATATGTATTCCAATATGGAGGTTTAAGCAAGTTTTAAAAAAGTTTTGAAAAAGGTTATCGTTCAAAAGCGAAGTTATATGTGGGGCGTAGGGGTTATCTGATCGGCCCAAAAGTTTTACCATAACTTGCTAATAGCATGAAGAACATATTTACTAAGTTTGGAAATGATATCTTTCTTTTTAGAATTTATGCCAAAAAAATTTAAATTCCGGCCGGTGTGTGAGGGAGCGACTCGAACTAAATGATATACAAGTTCTTTCTCTCAAAATAGCTTTTCGCCACGAAAGGACAAATATTTAGAAAAAAAATCTATTAAGAGCTTTCATTGCGTCCAAAGAGCTAATTGAATCCAGGGTATGGTTAGGCGAAGCTACCAGAATTGTGATAGTTTCACCTCCCCGTCCTCCAGATGTGCTGCTACAGTGAGATTCGGTTGAGGGTTTTGGACAATAACCCCAAAAGTACCATAAAGTTTTGACTTTGTGAGCATAAGGAGCACCCTTTAAGCCTCTTGACTTACTCTGCATGCAAAAGACTTTTTATATTCGAACTTAATTTTCGAAAAATCTGGGCTCCTGAATTCTCCAGGCTCGGAGAAAGATCTCGGACTCTCCCCTCACTCGTCTGGACAGCGCGAGATTCTTCTATCTGAGAGTCTAAAGGCTGCAACGGTATCTTCGGGATTTTAAGCGACTTTTTGTGAATTCTTCTGGATTTTCCGAATTTTTTTTTACATTTTTTTTGAAGTTTTTCGAGATCTTTCGGAAGTTTTGTCGCAAGTTTTTTGCGATTTCGGAAAGAATCCCAATGGTATTTTTCGGGATCTTTCAGAATGTTTCCAGAATATCTTTTTGGGGAGTTTCGCAATTTTTTAAAAAATTCTCTGGAATTTCGAGAATTTTCGTTAGTTTTTCGAGAACTCTTAAGTACAAAAGGAGATACATTTTAGAGTTCAGTTTGCTTTCATGCGTGTCCAAAAATAAAAACAAGTGGAATTTTTAGCTCAAATAAATAAAAGATTAAGTGCCTTTTTTAGCTTTTTATTCTAAAGTGCAAACTCGGTACGATTATTAGTAAAAGAAAAACAATAATAAAAGATTTTGTGTGGAGTATGAGTTAAAGCTTAGTTAGTCTAGACTTAACTTAATTTAACTTACTTAAGGAATCGTCAATGGTCACTCAACACGAAAACTTAAACTAGAAGCAAAAATTATATTTTTTTTTACTTTCATTTTCTTTTTCAGCAGTTTCAC